GGATTCAATATCATGACTTGAGAGAGTACCAATCACTTACAATAATAACAAAATGTATGTATTAGAATAGAAGGTATTTGAGTTGGAAACAAACACAAAAACTTGCCTATCAGGAACCCTTTTTAAATGTAAATTGCCATATGAATAGATAAAAATCTATTGATAGTGTGTTATATTAAATAAATTACATTTTTGTTCGTCACAACAAACACATAAATTTCAAAAATGAATATCCCTTAACTTAGGTTTGATGTCAAATTTAAATCTTTATGAGAAAAAGTTGATAAATTGAAATTATAAAAAAGGTAGTCAAATTTTAATATGAGAGAGAAAGCTTTGATATATAAATTGAAATTCTAAAAAAGGTAAAAAAGGAAGTTGGAATGAATAGAACTGAGATAGAAAGGTTAAAAAGAATTAGAAGAATAAGAGGGAAATCATGGTTTTAAAAACATAAGAATTAAAGATGGTGTCATGTAAGGATTTTTTTGTAATTTTATTTTTAAAAAGAAAGAGGGTGGAACGCCTTAGGCTATTGGTGGAGCGCCAATATTAGACTTATGCTCGTTGGGTAAGAAGGAAGAAAATAGGATGGAAGGGAGAGAATAAAAGATAAATGAGATATTTTAGGAAAGAGATTGTGTCCTTATCTCTTTTTGTTTTGGTTGGATGGAAGAACAAATAATGAGAGAAGAAAAGAGAGATAGCTACTTATAAGGAATAGGATGGAAGAGAGAGAATAAAAGATAAATGAGATATTCTAAGGAAGAGATTGTGTCCTTATCTCTTTTTGTTTTAATTGGATGGAAGAAAAAAATAATGAGAGAAGAAAAGAGACATAGCTACTTATAAGGAAAATTCTGTAGTTTAAAAACTTTTATAAGAGTTTTACCATTTTTCCTTTGTGTCTTCTGTCCATATTTAGAGGGATAAAAATTTGTTAAGAATGAAGGATAACTCATCCATCATCTTCTCTCTTCTCTCTACCAAACTAAAAAAAAATGTTCCTTCCTTTCTATCTTCCCTCCACCCATCTTCCTTCCTTCATACCAAACAGAGCATTAATTTTAATCTTTCTTATTCAGAATTCAATGCATTCCATAATTTTTTTATTTTTTATTGACAAAAAATTCACATAAATTTAACCTATGTAATTTTTTCTTTTTTAAAATAGAAGTTTGTAGGAAACATCAACGTGATACACACACACACACTATACACTTTTTCCTTCTTGTTTTTCAGGAAATAATTCTATGATAAAACTAACTAATCGATCACCACTTTCAATACTTATCAAAAATAAATAAAAAATTTAATCATCACTTTCAATCAACTTATATGTGTGTTAATTATATATATATATATATATATATATGTATACGCGCTTTGTATATATGGTTATATTTTAGAAAATTTGAAGGATTCTCACTAATCATCACTCTTTAATAGTAGTATATTCAAAAAATTAAGAGCTCGTAACCTAATGTATCTTCTTTATTTTTCAAAGTAGATGTGAGAGTTGAGTTTTCAAAGTGACAAGGTGAAATATAAAACTAATGATCAATAATTTTAGTAAAATTAAATAACTATTGAATGTTATTTATATTATCTTTATTGTCAGATCACATGTTAATCCTTATATATAAATTTTTATTTTGGTACTATATTTCAAATATTTTTATCCTTGTATCTTATCTTAACAGATCAAATTTGATATTCGTGTGTGTCTATATATATATATATATATATATATATATATATATCGTATCAATTAATTCCTCATGTACTAATTATTTCTGAGACAGAACCTGCATTTGGATTAAAAAAAGAGATACACATATTAAAATATTATTATGTTATGATATTTCATATCGTAATTAAGGACTTCCAGAACTGAATAACTGAGAACATATAAAATATAGTAACAATTCCTCATGTACTAATTATTTATGAGCCAGAATCTGCCTGATTGGATTAAAAAAACAATACATATACTAAAATATTATTATGTTATGAAATGTAACATATTCCTCATATAAACACGTTAGAAACATTGGGGAGTTTGATTATCTTATAATACTATTTAACAAATCATAACCAAACCACACCAGAATATAATTTATGTAAAGAAAACATTATTTAGGCCAGTAAATCATTTACGAAAAGCATATTAAAGTAAGAGAGTAAAAAAAATTCTGATCAATATGTGTTCTCTCTAATTAAACACCGAATATGGTGTTAGAATACTTATGTATTGTGATATAATTGGTTGTTGATATTGATGACATGCCAAGGAAAAATTTATCAAAACAAGAAAAGAATGAAAAATGCAATATTAATTTGTTCAAGAAAAGATATATTTATAAGTTACTTCACACCCCTATCAAAAGATTGGACTGTTATAAAAAGATGTCCATTCATAAGAGTTTTTATTCATATTTATTCACCCATCTAAGGATCAATAAGGTTAAGAAGCTTTTTAAAAAAATATTTCTTAAAAAAACCAACACGGATCACTTGACATATGAAATAATCTACATTAACGCTGCAAGTGTTTCGCACGAACAATTCAATTTACATTAACGAGTAAGTGTTTCGCATGGATTGTTCGATCTACATTAACGAGTAAGTGCATGTTTCACACGGACTACAGTTCGAAATTTTTGTGACATTACAAAGTTTGAGCATGGAAACTATGATGTGGGAAGGTACGAGATACTGGACAAATTACTATAGGGATAGGTTAGAGGGTGTCATGATTCCACATTACTTGAAAAAGGTAAAATGTTATACGTACATTAAGTTTAACACACTTCTATGAAATAACACGTGCCACATCATTTGAAAAATGTGAAATGATATATGTACATATGTTCAATACATTCTATGACATAATGAGTAGTATTAGGATGACTTGAGTGATCTCCTAGGAAGACTTTGGTTCGGAAGAGCCAAAAACAGATAATATTGTATCTGATAATACGTAAGTAAAATCACATATAAAGTACACTGAAATTAAACACGAGACTTGTAATACGTAAATAAAATCACATACAAAATACGGTGAAATTAAATGGTGAATTGATGTATACGTTCATGGAAACTGGTCCATCCCAATCCGTCACTATTTTAATGCAGATCACATAATACCTTCACTTATGCACATTTTTTAAATTTTATAATGTATCAATACATAACTTTTTTATTCTCAATATGTGTCACATAATACCTTCACTTATGCACAATTTTTTAATTTTATGATGTATTAATACTAACTTTTTTATTCTCAAAATGTGTCGCATAATACCTTCACTTATGCACAATTTTTTCATTTTTATAATGTATTAATACAAAACTTTTTTATTCTCAAAATTTGTCGCATAATACCTTCACTTATGCACAATTTTTTCATTTTTATAATGTATGTAATACATAACTTTTTTATTCTCAAAATGTGTTAGTTTAAACTTTAAAGTAGAACTGGTGACAAGCTGCTTGATTTTTAGCTGCGCTTGAGAGTACCAAATTAAAATTTTAAAAAATATTATTGAGTTTGGGAGCATGGAATTGGAGGGTCGAAATGCTCCCAAAACATAGCATTAATTGGAGATGTCAACACGCGTAATCTTTCTTGGTTGGAATTGGCCGGGAAATGGGCTGGTCCAGACCAAGTCCATATTGGCATGTGATAGAGAAGTCAACCCACGATAAGCCAGGTCATGCATCGCCAACCCATATAGATTATTGATTGAATATTATGATGATCCCAGTTCACGGGCCACGAGGCCCAAGATCTGTGGTTGAAAATCGTGACCGACCTGTCACTGGTACGCGTTACCCGCCGGAAAATCAGATCCCTCACACGTGTGTACCAGCAGACTTTACACCACTTTCACGGTCAAGAAATTACTACTAACGCCAAACATTAATTAACAAACGGACCGTCAACTCCGAGGGTTAATCAGTCCCACCAGAATGTATTAGGTAGGGGTTTAGAAGTTCTGGCGCACATTTTTTATGCAGCGCGTTCAGAAAGGCTGTCCAGTTGCATAAACAAGTAATATATATATATATATATACATGAAAATTCTTCTAATTTATTTCTAAGTTCTCAAATTTATTATAGCTTTTTTCAAATGTACAAATGAATTCTTAATCTATTTCATAACGTTAAATTTACTTTTAAGTATTACAAAATCATGATAATTTATTTATTCATATACTATTTTTGTTTGTTCAGTTACCTATATATTTTGACAATATTTAGATCTTTTGTTCATAATCTTTCATCAAATTATTCTTGATATTTTATTTATTTATATTTGAATTGTGAATTATACCAATAGTACTGATTGTTTTACAAATCCTTACACACGTACAATAATTTTTTATTTATTTAGAAATGCCAAAATAGTATTTGCAAATAGGCACAGTTTTGTTTTAATAGAAAAAAAAAAAAAAAAAAAAAAAAAATGGACTCTGAAAATCAAATTTTAAGCTTTGATTGAGCCAAGAATGATATACTGAAAAGTTGCAACTTCTCTTTCTAAATACAAATATTTTGTTTTTGAAACTATAACTTTTGTTTCTTTAAAAAACTACTTTATCTTTTTTATTTAAAGTCTCACAAATACTAATTAGAAATTTATTTCAAATTAATTATACTTAATAAGTTGTAATTTATGAAAAATTATATTGCTACACCTCGATCTACTAAACCCAAAACAGTGAAATTAATACCACCTATTGATGGTACCATTTGATTAATTCAAAGTCTTAATTGGAATTTAGAATTTAATACAATAAGAATCTCACGTTCTACAACACCCCATTTAAGTATGATCATCAAATCTAATTAACTCAAGAGTTTCTAACAAAAATCATGTGAAGTACATTAAACTTTCCCATTTTCCCTAAAAACATGGAATATTTTATTACAAACTTGCAACTTAAAACACCACCACTGTGCCTCCCTTAGATTACACACCACTTTTGAGAGAATGGCAACCTTTCTACTCAAACTCTCAACCATTCTCTCTCTAACCATCTTTCTACTTCCCTTCCATTCTCAAACAGCCTTGTCAACCGGCCGCATCCAAGACGACGAAGAGTACGTACTCGACAACCCGTTTGTCAACAACTCGAGACTGAGAGGCCGGTTCTTGACCACTGTCGTCAAGAAAGGCACACACTGCGACCCCGTCACCAACAATGTGTGTGACGGTGTCTCGGCCAACAATGGTACAAGCCTTTTGCACTGTTGCAAGACGCATTGCCGCAATGTTCTAAGCGACAAAAATGAGTGTGGGCAGTGCGGGCACAAGTGTGCATTTGGTGAGCTATGCTGCAATGGAAGTTGCACCAACGTTGCCAACAATGATGCACACTGTGGCAAATGTGACACGGCATGCTCGCCGGGGGTTAAATGCGAGTATGGTGTTTGTGGGTATTCTTGAATCACACCGCCACTTGATTCAGGAAAAAAAAAAAAAGAATCACACCACTTGTGTGGTTAAAAAAAAAAAAAAAATTGTAGTTAGGGGAGTTTGGAAATGGAAATTAAGATGGTTTAATTAATAATAAGTGATTTTTGGTTCAACCAGTTGATATGGTTTGGGCTGCTTGTTTTCTGCAGAGGAAGGATAATGCTTTGTATCTAGATTCATGTTTTTGCCATCCTCTAGTACTTCTATATATACATAGTTTTTTGTTTGTTTGTTTGTAAACATGAGTTCATGTTATCAATAAAAGAGATAATTTACGTTTTTCATTGGCAGTGTTTTTTGTTTTTTTTTCTACAAGGTGATTTATAATGCTTGTGGTTGGCAGACATAAACTCACTTATATTGATGTGCCACAGGTTTGTAGACTTTTTATTTTTCGGTACAATTCTATGATATTGTTTCGAGTCAAGAGGATTCATTCCTGGTCAGAAACGACCCAATCTACAAAATTCGAGCGGCAAAATTCCAACCTTAAGGTACCTCAAATTGCATTTTTTAGTACTATATATAGAGAGACTGCTGAACAACTTGGGATTTTTGTTGGAGGTCTAAATAAACTTGAATTATTCTGATTTTTGGTTCATATCTTAGTTTAGTGATTAGGTTATATCTTAGTTTAGTGATTAGGTTATATCTTCTACTTTTTCATAATATTTAGAGATGATTCAGTTTTCGGCTTGTTTATTTCTTGTGTTTATAAATTTTGTGTAGTGTAAGTATACATGTACTCCAAGAGTACATGGACACAGTTCATTTTCATTTATAAAATATCAAAATTGATTTCTTTTACTTAACTTTGTGAGTTCAAAGTTCTGTTTTTTTTTTTTTTAGCTTTGTGGTATTTTAAAATAGAAGAAGTGATCCTTTGACATATTAGTTGCGTACGTACTTAATATAAGGGTAGAGATTTTGATTTAACTTTTTAACAATTGGTTAAAAAATATAAAAGATTTTACCTCACAATTAGCAAACCATAAATCCCATTGAAAATTTTCACATTTTTTGGGAGATAATCTTTCAATATTAAAATAGTAAAGGGCTATTTCTATAATTCTTCCATGTAATTAAATTTTCATTAATTTATTTATACATAAATCTTTCAATATTAAAATAGTAAAGGGCTATTTCTATAATTCTTCTATATAATTAAATTTTCATTAATTTATTTATACATATCACACACAAACTTTTGTCTATGTGGAGACTTAAATAGATGAGTACGTAACACTACTCAATAGTTTAATAAGTTAAGAGACAAGTAATATCAAAACTAGACTCAATCCTTGTCGCCTTGCGTCCAGCTGTTACATGAACTTAAAAATAAAGTTACAAGGTAGTGAGCATTTTTTAAAAACAAAAACACCCACTTGCCTATCGACCTTCCACTTAGTGGAAGACAGGAAAGTACATCCAAGGCTACAACTGCCTTTGGTACATTCAAGATGATAAAAATAGACCAATCCATGGCCTTTGGGACATGTCTCAATTCACTGCTGGAAATTGTTACGCCAGTCCAAGTTCTGGTTCAATAGTTTATGTTGAGAATTTTAATTTTCAAATCATTGTCAGCAAGTTCACACCAACAATACTCAACAAAATAAATCAACTTCCACATTCTGATATGATGAGCATGCTAGTTTCCATGACAGATATCATCAATAAATCCACTAAGGTAGCAGCCACAGTTCCCCAATTGCTCCAGCATAATCATGTTGAATATACATCTCGAATAGATACCAGGTTTACAATGATAAACTATACTAGCAACATTAGAGTAAAGCATCAATATCGACAACTGAGTAACAGCAATATAGCGTCATACATACCTCAATGCAGATAATCGTATCAAACTCAATTTCATCATATTCAGAACTATCAATCTTGATATGTGGATATCAGTTCTCGAAAAAACAAAGGCATAATACATGTTCTGATTGAAAGTCGAAGCTTCAAACAGCACTAACCAAACCAACTGTGTATGTTTGCTCTACGGTAAACATTTTAGACTGCCAGATCTCTAGCAGCAGCATTATGAGTTCAAGTTCCCTTCACGTGATGTAAAAAAGAACATAATGTAAAAAATAACAGGAATATAGCTTATGTTTGTTTTCTAATACCAGACCTAGCCACTTGCATGATCATCAAAACAAAATTGGTCCACAAACTCCATTCATTCTAGTTTTGCTTCTTCAGAGAAGATAGAAATATCCAACCACTAGAAGTATCAGCATTGAAATACCAGCAGGAGCAGCCCACATCCAGTAGTTAGTTGTCTTTTTGCGTTTTAGTATGATTTTTGAAAGTGAATCTGGACCCCTTGCTCGATTTCGGTGCCTAATGGTATTCTCCTTTCGGTCCCTATTCTTAGACACGACAGGAGCATCAACATTTTCATCAGGCTTCTCTGGTTCAGAAACCTCGGGATCTGCTTGATCAGTTGGTTCTTCAAGATCAGGAGCAGGTACAGAAGCTCCAGCCTTCTTCTTTGCTTTCTTTTCACGGTCCTGTTTTAAATTAAAAACAAAACTACATTAGTTCAAAGTTGCAACAAAATCACTAGTTAATAAATTTGGAAAAAGTAAACATTTAATCAATAATTTCCTTAAGCTTCTTTTCGGCCTCCTTCTGAGCTTTCATAGCTGCTTTGGCGGCTGCCTTCTCTGCCAACTTCTTCTTCCTTTCCAAGGCCTGCTTAGATTTTGCCATCTCCTCTTCTCTTTTCATCTCCTTCAACTTTGCAGCATCAAGTTCATTCTCCTTAGAAGGAGGATCCTTTTGCTGTTTCTCTAACCCAGAAATTTCTTTTTCTATATCAAGAGGCTCCAAAGTGCTTCCTGAACCTGTTTGTTTACCTTTTGCTTCTTTCGGTACCTTCTGGATGTGTCCAGAATCGTGTTGTGGAGGGGAAATAGTATCTTCTTTTACTTGCTTTACTTTGGTTTTTGCTGCTGCCTCTGTTTCAGAAGGTAATGCTGCATCCCGCAACACAAATGACTTCTCATCTGGGTTCCTTATCCGTCCATCCTTGCTCAGTTGTCGAAAATCTAGAGATGGCAAGATTCTTCTCTCATAATCATCCCTCAAAGCCTTGTTACTGCTCCACAGGGACATGAAGTTCTCAACCTATTCAGTGAGAAGAAAAATGCTAATAAGTTGACAGCTCAATGAAACGGTTTATAGTCACATATGTTCGTAAAAAATGACAGCAATGGATACCTCCGTATCACAAATCTTTTGAAGGGATTCAATATCCTTCTTTGCAGCAAAGTCTTTGGCCTTGTTCAAAAGCGTACGATTTTGGAAATAGCAGGAATTCTGAGAAACATAAGGATATTGATTAAAGGTCTTCATGCAACATAAATGTAATAATCACTCTGTAAACCAATCTAAAAAACATAAAAGAGAGGTTCTTTCACCATCTTAAATTGTTGCAAATCAAAACTGAATGTCAAATTTTATAAAACTAATACAGATGATTAAGTATCAATAAAGATGGCAACTATGGAATGCGGCTAGTGCATAGCAACTGTACCTTCCTTTTGCAATGTTATTAATAAGGGCCATGTTATAATGCAAGCTGCTACTGAATTTCATATAATGTTTGAGTCTCGTATGCCAGTGAACACCAAGCATGGTGCAGATAGATGATCTTGTAAGTAATATCTCTTTACTCAAAACATATTGTAGTTGACAAATGTCCTGATCTTACAATTGCATTTTATCACCTCAAAACTGCTTAAAACTCCTTATATCAATATTTAATTCATATGTTTCAATCTCTATTTTTGTTTTAGATCTCCATACAACTTTATTGATTTCCTAACTGGATGTTTAAAAAAATCCAAAGAAAGTGCAATTTTCCTTTTGCTCTCAACTCAACTAAAATAGAAAAAGAGAACAAACCATTCCTTGAAGTGAATAAAGAGAAACTCAAAGCTTTGGGAAGGTTAACGTAACAACATACGCCTAAGAAGCAGGAAGACTGCAGAGCACTGCCAGTTGGTGCCAGGGAAAAATTTAAATAAACGATCAGAACAATTCAGTGTCTTAGAAAAGGGTAACTAACTACAGCTTCTCAGTTTTTAAAAGGCTAGAGGCACAGAAAAGAAAAAAATAAAGAAATCTACTGAAAAAGACAATGTATTTTCATCCATTTCATTTACTTATTGAAAGAATCCTATTAGGGTATAAGTCAACAGAATTTCTAGGCATCACCTTGAAACATAACTGGGTTTGACTACAACATTCTTGTACCTTCCATGTTTTTCAATCTTGTTCGTATTTATAACAGTTTTAACTGATCATTAATCTACTAGATAGCTTCAGCCCACCCCAAACTTCCACCCAACAGTGTTTTCTTCTCTTAATTCTTAGGGCATATATAAGAAGGGTATAGTTGTCAGTCACTAGCAAGGCTAAAAGTGAGAATATTGCTTCGAGCCGCCAAGCATATGGTATTACCACCTAGATGCCTCAACAGCATGCTAAGTGCTGTTTTCCATTCATCACTTTATTTAAATAAAAATGAGTGTCTCACTCATCCCTTTTATTTCGAAGGACCCTGGCCATATCAGCTGCAAAGGTAGGTTGGTTTCTTTTAAAGAACATGAGATGGTTATATTTAGAAAAAATATATATTTATTTATAAATACTTAACCACTTTCTTAAAAAATATGTGGAGAATTATTGAAAACATTATAACCCGTAATTCCAAACATCATGAAGTCTATCATTGTACAACTTGCTAAGTGTGCCTGTTGCCCTACGAATTAAACAAACTATGATGCAAATCATTATCTGGCAGATCAATATGTCAGAATTCAAATTTTGAACAGAGCAAAGAGGAATTTAGTTATGACGATTCCACAAGGAACTGAAGTAGGATGCTTTTAGAAGATCAAATATCATTAGATTCCACGTTAAATTTAGGTGTTCTTGGAAACTTGACCAAATGGATGGTTTAAAAATGAAAAATCACATGAGGTGATTGATAGTAAGCATTAACTTTATGTATAAAACAGAAGCAGAAACAAAGTTCAATAAAATTCCATATTATTTAGCATGCCAACATTAATATAACTTCCATTAACTATTAATTTCAGCTCTTATCAAACTTCCTCCATCACAAAGTCACTAAAACAAGGACTGACACCATTCCTAGACAACTCTAGCTTATCAACTGAAAGTACAAAATTCTATTTTACTTCCCAATGCATGAAATTAATCTATTAGAAGAAGAAGAAATTAATCTAGAGGGAAAGAGAACCAAGAAGAAGAACACCAGAAAAAAAAAAAAAAAAAAAAAAAAAAAAAAAAAAAAAACCTTGACTGGAAGCTTTGACCAAATTCAACAGTAACTAATGAGGAATGAAAATTATAAAGCATGGACAAGGAGGCACATTGGGTCTGAGCATCAAGCATAAGACACAATTTGACTACCACAGCATGGAAACTCTTCCCGATTTGGTTCATGGAAATTTTAAGTCCTTCAAACGGCATAAAATTTTTTATAAATATTTGGTAATAAAGCCACACAATTCTAACAAACAAATAGTCAAGAAATAATATCCAACAGTAGAAATGAATCCATAATCCATTTAAAGAAATCCAGAGTTTAACCAAAAAATGGAAAGGAAACCAGCATACCCCCTCCTCTCGCTGTTTCTTCAAATTCTGAAGATATTGACGAGCTTCATCCCGTTTTTGTGTCATAACTGTCAGCTCAGTCTCTAATGAATTGATCTCTTTGTCAATTGCATTTCTTTCTTCTTCAAGTTGATTCATCTTCGCCCTAACCACCATGCGTTCCTTCTTAACTCCATCAAAATCAGCTCCCATAAGCTACAATCACATGGAAATCCACATATGAAATCAAATAATATCAAATTGCAATAACTAAAAAGTTGTAAGATCGCATGCTTAAATGAGAAGTTTTTTATTATAGAATTTATAGAAAAAAAATTGCCTTACTTTGACTTGGTCCTGAATGACTTCTTTTTGGCCCAATGACTCCTGAATCTTTGCCCTCATAGCAGCATTAGCGGTAACTTTTTCCCTTGTCCCTTCCAGCTGTTTAATTTCTCTAAGGATTTGCTTTTCCTCAGTAAGTGGAATGCTTTCATGTTGAATACGGTATTGCAAACTTTTAATCTGTGTTAACAATTACAGAGGAGATAGAAAAGAAAATACTATAAATCACTACAGTTTAATCTCTAAAACAAATTCTCGATTTTTAATAGAGAACGAAGTACATGAGTTGGTAGTTGCCACAGTAAAAACAAGCAAATATATTGCAACAATTTTGAAAAGCTTAATATTAGAGCTTACAATATCATTAAGCTCTTCCTCAGATGAACACAGACTAACACCCCTATCACGGCCAGTACTGTTTGTAGTGCGTAGCTTGCCCAGAGCCTGATGCAGAGGCTCCATTTCTTTTTTCTTCTCGTCCATGATTGACCTGAACTGCCTATTCTCAACACCCAGAGACCTCATTTGACCAATTACCTGTGCTCGATCCGACTACAGAAAATAAATGCAGCAGAGTCAAACATTTAGCGGTTGAGATGATTGTTGAAATTTTCATTTGGTTACTTTCCGGTGAAAAATGTATATATATTTCATTCGGTTGACTCACCTACCTTAGTTTTTTTTCCTCATAAGTGAGGGTTAATCCTATTGATTCAGTATAAATTTTGATCAAATATAAGAAGCTATAGAATGATAAGACATACAGTACAATCAAATCAACTTCATTTCATATCAAATAAACGATTTGTGATATCTTTTTCAGTACTGGATAAATAGAATGATAAGACATACAGTACAATCAAATCAACTTCATTTCATATCAAATAACTTGCGTTTAACAACTTGTGATATCTTTTTCAGTGCTGGATAATACATTAATCTACATGCCCTGTGTGTGCGTGTACAGAGTAAGTATAATCATCTAGTTACAATCTTTAATATATTCAACATATAAACAAAGCAGAAGTTAAATGAGTTGACTGAAAATACTGGAACCTAATCCTACCTATGAGAACCCACTCATAACAAAATCAAAGGTCTCACTTGTATCAGATGTCCATTACTATTACCGTAGTTCTCTTTTATCTTCTGCTTATATCTAAGTATTTCTGACAAATTTTAATTTAGTAATGGAAATACTTCATCTGCTTGAAAAGCAGCCATATTGTAGGTACTTGTTCATTATGTTCCATGTTATTCATATTTAAATATTTATTTAAGCATTCAAATATTCGAAGTTCACCAGCTTCCAGCAGCTGTTTAACCGCTTAAAAATGTCAAATTTTGTTAAATTTATGTACATGATCACATCCAACTTTCTTTGAATGATATATGAAGCCATTTAAACACTCTAAATGGGATTAAATAAAGTTCTTCAGCTTGTAAAAATGCTAAACATGTTAATTGTTAACATTTATCTTTTTTATTCTAGGAGCTGACAGATTAACAAGGACAACAACTGCCTTCACATCTTTAGAAAAGAATAATAATATTAATTTGCTCCCGACAAAAATACTACAAAAAGTAATCTCTGCATACAGCTTTGATTGTTGGTTTCATTAGGTACAACATTAAATAGACAATTAAAATTTGAAAAAAAAAAAAAAAAAAAAAAAAAAATTGAAACTGCATCTTACCCTTTTTTCCCTCAATTTATCAACGAGCTGAGAGCGGGTTTGAATCTTCTTTTGAAGATCTTTATCAGCCTGATCGAGCTTCGCTTTCAACTTTGGATCTTCATATGAGCGATACTTGATGAAATAAAAAGAATGGATTTGCGGAGGCATAGGCCATTCATCAACTGCACCCTTTGGAAAGTTGGCCTCAAGAACATTATTTGTTTCTACTTTAGCCAACTCATCTAAACCATGCGAACCAAACTTTATGGGTTCGCTCAGCCCCTGTCCCTCATTCATTTTCACATTTTCCTTCTCATGCAACAAAGAGCTATTTTCTTCACTACCAGTTTCAACAGAAACTTGGGCCAACTCAGATTCCACAGCCTCCACACCCATAATTCACAACAAAATTTAACAGATAAACCACCTTACAGAATCCCTAAACCTGTTGCGGAAAGTAAAAAAATAATTAGTTAAACGACAAATAAAAAGAACATCCACCTGGCAACAATATCCCACCAGAACTGCGTATAATTAAAAGACAAATCAACCCATTCAATATCAAAATTTTCAGTCAAAACTAATCAACAAGATCTCTTGACAACTCTGAACTAAGAAAAAACACCAAAAGTTTAACAAAAAAAAATTGTTATGACCCATTTTTTAATTGGCATCATATAATTCTTTTCTATCAAAAGAATCTAAGACGATAAAGATGAAGTTTAAATGAAATTAAAGACGATAACATGGTACAGAATGTCAAAAAATCATATAGATCTTTCAATCAAAATTACCAAAAAGACAAACCCTAAAACAACAAGCAAATATATAGCTGTTACGAACTTCAGAGATCATTCTAAAAAAAGAAGAATAATACTTCAAACCCACAAATCGAACAGTACAATTAACCAAAAAATTCAAACAAACCCTTTACATGATTGCAAAATACACATGCATTCATGTGGAGAAAGGAGAAAGAGAAAGATCAGTACATATGCAATTGATAGATACATGAATTAACTAAAATAGTAAAATGAGAAACAACTAAAAGAAACGAATCTAAAACAATTATACCCGTATCTGAATCAGTCAATGATGCTATAACTAAAAACAAATCGAAAAGATCAAATCTTTTTAAGTAAAAAGAATTCAGAGAAGAGCAAAAACAAAAACGATTGATAAACATAATTAACAGATGTAGATGATTTGGGAATGATATGTAGTACCTTGAAGGATCGAGATCGGGTTGGTATGGATCTATATAAGAAGAAAGCAATTTGAAAGAGTGAAGAAATAGAGAGAAGAGTTGGTGATGAAAAATAGGAAAAAATGGCGGAGACTTACTGTGAATAGGGAAACAAAAGCAGAGATTTTGAAATGACCCTTTTGACAGGGCCGTCCGAGAGAGGGAATAGTCAGATCAGATCTCTTTCTCTCTCTCTAAAATCTCTCTTTGATTTTCTTCAGAAACCAAAAAGGTCTTTGCCTCTTTTAGTTAGAGAGAAAACAAAAGATAGATAAGGAGAGAGTACTGATTTTGAGAAATTGAGATCTATACAGTAAATACTACTACTATATTAGAGAGAAAATTAATATATATATATATATATATATATATATATATATATTTGTATATATTTTTCTGCAGACCGTAAATGAGGAACATTACCGGTTTCATCGACCGTCCGTCCGTCGCATGTTAAGGAAAGTATAGAAGACGACGTAGTATTGAGTGAGAAATTGGCAAAACGAGTGAAGGTGGCGTGACGTCTGTTGTTGTTGTTGTTGTTGTTAGTTGTTTGTTTTATCACGTGTTTAGTAATACTAGTTTCGGATGAATCGAGTGCTGTCAGTGTAAGTACTGAAAAACCCCTTCCTCTATATAAACTTTTCAATGGAAGAAATACAATCCTGTTCCATTTTAATATTTGTTCCTAAAATTGGTCCTCTGTGTATTACTCCGGTCAATGTACACTTGTTATTATTTTTTTAAGGATGACTTCCGTTATATTTAAATCCATATAAATATATATATATGGGAAGTGAAAGGGTCGTAGTGTTGTTACAGTAAGAAAATACTTTTATTAATAGGGTCATCAAAAATTATTACCAGTTTAAAAAAAAAGCTAAATTGCAGTTACAAGATTTGGATTAAAGATATTCATATACTACAATTTAGGCACTTTTCATGTAAGGCAATACCAAATTGACACCTTTAGGGTAAACTAAACAAAAGATACATAATCACGATAAAAATACTTACATGTCTTTGACTTTTGAATTGACTATTAATCGATCAAAATGAACCCCACCGTCGCCACATATGCACCATTGCCAACAACCTCAACCCACCAACGCCCATCCTTCTTTCTTTCTTACTCTCTCTATTCTCCACCACAACCTTCACCATCGCCCCTGTCTATAACCTTTTATCTCCCCATCATCATTCTCTCTAACAGGTGAACACCAACGCCCAAATCCTCATCATCGTCTCAACCTACCCTCTCTCTCCATCCACTGTGGCCACCTTATTTTTGCTCACAAACCCAAATCTGCAATTAAATATGTGCAATACGTATATGTATATAGAGAGAGAGATTGAGATTAAAACAAGATTTAGGCTTTGTTTGGATACATAGGAAAAAAAAATAATAATAATAAAAATAATAATAAAAATAAAAATTAGTAGTTATGAGAGAAAAGAAAAGAAAAGATAGCAATAATCTCTGTTTATATTTGGATACATAGAAGAGAAAAAAATAATAATAATAATATTCTTGTTTGGATATGATAGAAGGGAGAAAATAAGATAAATGATAACAGCTCAATTACTATCATATCCTTGTAAATCGAATGGATATGAGTGGAATAATAATTTTCTATTTTTAATTGTTGAGGGCACTTTCGGGATTATGAAAATATTACTTAAACACTATTATTTCTCTTCCTATCTTCTCACTTTTGGAGAGATAGGAAATAAGGGATAAGGAGGGACTATCCCTCCCTATCTCTCCCTATCATTTCTTTTCTTTCATTTTAAACCACCCAAACACACTTAAGTCCTATCCTTTCTTTTATTTTTTCTTACTATCCCTCCAAATCATCCTATCCAAACGCACTTCACAATTATAAACTCATACATATCTCTTCATTTGATCTCTCTCTATATATCCATATACTATTTTGGCCACCATCGAATCAGGTACTGATCGAAACAACGAATTCAACGGCAAAACCACGTTTTGCAGCAACGTACCTCTCCATTTAGCGCATCAAAACATTCCATTCTACCATGGGTTCGGATCTGGTCTTGGTTGATTCATTCTTCGATTTCGTGGTTTTGGTTATGTTGTATTTCGCAGAGGGCTTTTGCATCTTATTCGCACTTCTCTTCTTTATGAAGTCTTTGTGGTTGTTTTTGTTCATTCTTGGAGTTTTCGGCTAAATCGGATTGTCGGGTAAGCTTCGTCAGCCCAAATTCGAAAAGATAAAAAAGTAATCAGTGGTGGAAATAAAGGCTGCTAACATCACCATTGCCGACACGACTGGACCTATAAGTGGTGGTCCTTGAGGGCGACCCAATAGGGTAGGTGATGTTGTTAACAATTTAGGGTTCCGGTGATTTTGAGAGGTGAGTTGTTGTGACAAAACGATAGAGATGGTTGTTTCTGTATGGTGGGTGAGTAGTGGTGAAGGTGCCGATTATGGGTGGTAGTAGTGGAGGTGCCGATTGTGGGTGGTAGTAGGAGGTTAGAGAGATGAGAGGAGGGGGTGCTACAATATGTGGTAGGTATTGGTTAAAGGGCAAAATGGTCATTTTTAAAAAATTTATATTTTATAGTTATAAGTAATAAAATATTGAAGGGTAATTTAGACTTTCATATAATTTTGGGGTATGTTTGGTTCTTATTTCTAATATGGGGGTGTCATTGTCCAAATAGTGCTAAAGTTATAAATGAGTGTCTTTAATCCAAACCTGGGGGTGTCAGTGCAATTTAGCCAAAAAAAAAAAAAAAAACATGATACTTATGCTTTGTTTGGTTGGAAAGATGGAAAAATAGATGGACATGAGAGGGGATGGATAGATGAGACATCCTTAAAGAAGAGAAGTGATCTCCCTCACTTTTTGTTTAGTTAGATGGAACGGAAAAGACAAAGGATGAATGAGATGATATATATATATTTTTTTACACTTGGTTGGAAGGAAGGGAAATATAGTTTTTGTATGCTTTTTTACCACTATACCCTCATTATTAACATCTCACTGGGTAAAGTGAAATTTTTTTTTTAAAAGGTTAAAAATGAAAATTAAAAATTATTAGTTATTATCCTGTTTTCTCTCTCATCTTCCCCTCAAAATTGGGCGGATAACAAAATACAAAGAAATGAGGGATGAAGTATCATTCCTTGCTTCCTCCTAATTTTCTCTTTCCTTCTACCAAACACAAAAAAACATTTGCTTAGAGTATTTTTCAATATGTTTTGTGAAAACATTTTTTTAAAAGCATTTTTATTGTTAATCTTAATAGAATGTTGCTATATGACTTTAATTTTTTTTATAAAGAAATAATACTAGCACCTTTATTAAAGGATAGGAGAAATTGTCTTTTTAAAAAAATAAAAAGAGATAAAGTTGTATAATAAAAAACATTTACCTAAAAGTTAAAAATAGGGCGAATTGCAAAAAACCCCTCTAAACTGCCACCCGTTAGCAATAAACCCCCCTTATGAATTGTTTTAGCGAAAAAAAACCCTCAACTATCATGAGAGGGGTATTTTAACTGCACTCTGTTTAAGGGGTTATGTTTTGGACGAAAATACCCCTTAAACAGTTGTCCTCCTTGTCTTCTACTTTCTCTCTTTGACCTCTCAATCTCCTCCATCCCACCATTGCCACCCACAATCCACCTCCACCACTGCCACCACAATCCACCTTTGCCAAAATCTGAAAGACAAATGTTCAAAATCTGAATGCTAATTTGCCAGTTGATATAGAAGCAAAGCAAAAGAACAAACACAACCCATCAATTAAAATTTGAGAACCATACATATATAATTATATATATATATATATATATATATATATATATATATATATGTTTAACAAACACAACCCATCAGTTGAAATCTGAGAACCATAAATATATAATTAAATATAAAAAAATATATGTTTAACAAAACACAACCCATCAATTAAAATCTGAGAACCGGACATATATAATTATATATGTTTAACAAACACAACCATCAATTGTAATATATAAAAATAAATAAAAAAATAAATAAAAAAAATAAAAAGCGATGATTTGGTCCAAATTCTTGAATTGGGTATCATCAATAAATCGAAGCAAAAAGATAAAAACAAATTGTAGTCTTAAAGAAAAACAATGATTTGGTTCAAATTCCCAATTGGGTTTCAAAAAATCGAAGCAAAATATCAAAAACAAGTTGTAATCTCAAAGAAAAACGATGATTTGGTTGAATGTTGATGTTGATTTTTTGCAGTTGTTTGAGCTGAAGGGTCAGAGATCTAAGAGATACAAGACGAAATTAGGAGGGTGAAGAAAAGAGGAAAATGTGGGTTTATCTTCTTGTATTGTGGGTGATTTGTGTGCTGGACTGGGAGAGACTGTTTGTGGACTAAAGTGATTATCACTAGTATTATTTTAGTTATTGTTGGATTGTGGTGGCAATGGCGGAGGTGGGTTGTGGTGGCAACGGTGGAATGGAGGAGATTGGGAGGTTAAAGAGAGAAAGTAGAAGACGAAGAGGATAACTATTTAAGGGGTATTTTCGTTCAAAACATAACCCCTTAAACAGAGCGCAGTTAAAATACCCCTCATGATAGTTGAGGGGGGTTTTTTGCTAAAACAATTCATAAAAGGGGGTGCAATTCACCCTTAAAAATATTAACCTTATTCAAAAGCCATACAAAACTAAAATTGGTAATACCAAACACTTGTAAGCGCAATTCTTATATTAAAAGGTTTTTAAAGTTTGAATAGCAATTCCATACAAACTATAAATATAGGGAAAATGGGAGGCTGCACTCTATTACTTTTTATGTTTGCACTCTAATCTAAAATGAATTGACTCATCTAACCCTAACTTCACAAGTGAATAATTAGTTATTTTCAAACTAAACAACTACCCATTTAGATATGATTGGTCTTTGCTTCTCTCATCTCTAATATTTTCAGTCTCTTTGATTGCCCCAAACATAATAATAATAATAATAATAATAATTATAAATAAATTATATGATTTGACAGTAACAAAAAAAAAAAAAAAAAAAAAAAAAAACAAACAAACAAACAAACCAAAAAAAGTTATCTGATGTATAAATTATCCATTTTGTTAGGCACAAAAATAATACATAGTTACACATAAATTGTACCTAAGTGAATGAAAGTGGGTGTACCTAATAAACTTTTTAAAATTTTTATTTAAAAAAAAATATATTTATCAATTGGCAGCAGCCTAGTGGTATTAGGCCATACTTCTCAAAGGGACGTTAGATATTCAAGTCTCTAGAGGCACGTGTGTGTGAATAGGGATGTCAATTGGGCGGGTTAACTCGGGAAATGCCTTCCCCATCCCCACCGCCGTTTAGCATAGCTACACTTATTCCCATAATGGTAATAATTATTTTTTCTCATACGAATGAAAACAAAATTTAACTTCTCAAGTGGAATTTTAGACTTAATATTATTGTAAGAACAACAAAATAATACATAAATTTTCTGAAGTAAAAATAGTACAAAAGAATATTTAGTGATTGAGATAGAATGAATTAGAATTTGTTTAATATATATCTCCTATTATTGAATATAAAATAAAGAATTTCTTTGAGTTAAATCCAATTATTTTGCATTGGTTTTGATATTAGTCCTTCTATTAAAAAGTCTTAGACATTGATCATATTTTTTAACATTTCAATTAGTCATCACACGGTCCATCAAACGACGTTACAATTAAGTAGGAGTAGCAATTCGTGTTTGTGACTTATAATCATGTCTTGTCATATCGATGTAGGGATATTCTACTAAACATGTAAATTCAAACCCAACTTATTTAATAATCGTGTCAAGAACTTTCAACACTAACCCGACTTGTTTATTAACCCATTTAATGACCTGTTTATCAAAATGAGATATTTAATATTGTAACGACCCGGGTTTTGATTCAACCCGGTACTACAGTGATAGACCGAAAATTGAATCGATAACAGATCCAGATGCGGAAGCAAGAAACAAGACAACGGTCTCCCAAGGCACACACACCTCTAAGACACTTTGATGACCTTCCATGAGGTCACGGAACTCAAAGAAAGTATGTGCGGAAGCAAAAGATAAACCAAAGTCTTACGAGATATAAATCATCTCTCAGACGCGAATGTGACCTTCCATGAAGTCACGGAACCCAACGAAATAACCGGAGGCGAAAACTAGGATAAAAAGGTTGGGGTAATCTAACAAACACGAGAAGTTTATAAGTTAACATGAATTACATTATCAATGTAGTTAAACAAGGTTTGGAACAATCCATGCAACACGACAAGAAAGATGCTTGAAAATAGATTAACATGAATTGCATTATCAATACAATTAAACAAGATTGGAACATACCAATTAACACGACAAGAAGCATACTCGGATACAAGTTAACAAGCATTACATTATCAATGCAATTAACATGATTGGAGCATTCCAATTAACACGATAGGAGTAACACACAAAAACGAGAACAAGGCAAAATATCTATGCAACTAAACAAGAATGGAACATTTCATGAAACACGAAAAAAGTTATATATGAAATCAAGAACAAGGTACAATATCTATGCAATTAAACAAGATTGGAGCATTTCACATACATGACAAGTTTAAATCTTCAAGGAATAGCACTTGAAATTTAAAGGAGTGAAATCAACCAATGTGGAAACTCGGATATCGCCCGGATTAAAACCGTACTCTTGAGATCACTTTAGGGCTACTAACCCATGGGTACCTTTCCCCTAGTGCGCACTATAGTGTAGGAGGACATTCCCCCGTACTAGAACCAAGTCTTAGCCATGTCAATTCTTGATTGATATCCCAAGTCCCAAAATCAACAAGTTGTGCAAACTAAGATAGTATCAAAATACAATAAATGCATTAACCACGTTTCATACACAACCAAGATTTTGGAATACACAAGTCATGCCCTAAGTTCATCAACTATCATGGCATGTGAAATGTCAAGAAGCCATAGTGTGCATCTATATAGATTACAACCAAAATATATAGCACAAGGAATCCATTAAAGTAAACATACCACACGTATAAGATACATAGTTCAATTACTTACTAAACAACACATGTGAAATTAAACCATTCCAAGACAAATGTGCAAGTTCATTAAGTACATTAATGAAACCTAGATACAAGGAGTCACGATGCTTGATAAAAAGATGAAAGTACATAAAAATACAAGTCCGATTTATAAGTTAACACGAGTTCAATATCAAAGCATGATTAACGCGATGGAAGCATATAAGGAAATTTAATTTACTTAAGGGATTAAATTGTCAAGATGACAAGACAAGTCAAGGGTCATGTCAAAGGCAAGTTCAATGTCAAGTTACAAGTTCATTCCATACAAGACACGACCATGTGAAATTAATTCCATACAAAGGAAATAATTAAATATAAGTTTCAAAACTTATCCGGTTATTCTCAAATTGATCCACGTGAGGGAACATACGGGAACAAGAACAGAGCAAAGACAGAGCAGAAGGTCAAACCAAAGACGGCTCATAAAGAACTGAAGGACAACCCAAGAGATTTCAAGATCAACTGAAGGAACGCGAAACCACGAACCGAGACAACACCTCATATGAATCGGCACGTTAACTCAACGTCAACCACTGAGAGAATCCCAAGACAACGAAACATTGAAACACGATAAAGGAAGAGAGCGACAAGGCAGTACAAATAGCAACTCTGAAAAACTAATGTTCATATGAACTAATGTTCATAACATGCCCCAACCAGGTCAACTCTGAAAAACTTATCGATATGGATGACATAAATGTCGAAAATGATCATTACCAAAAGCACTACGGGAACCAGGTATCTGCGAGAGTTGGGGTACCTAATCCCAAAGCTCTGACAACAATGCCATAGGTACCGTTACGCTTAAGGCTTTAGATCTAGAAGCCACGAAGGAAAAGGAAATGAAACGGTGCCTCCTCGGCCCACGTCTCACTCCACCAGATAAGGAGATGGAAATTAATAGCAGTCCTCTACGCTCACATGGGCTTTACTCGCATCAACCAACAGAACAGACAAGAAGGTTCCTTACCTGGGTCCTTACGGAATGAATTTCTCCTATCCAAGGAAGAAACTCATAAAACAAGAACACATCTAAGGGATACGACAGACCCCAAGTGAAAATGCCAAAACCAGACATGAAAGAAAATAGCTAGCATACAACCTAACAACAGACTACCCACTCAAGGTGCCACATAAGCAAACAGACATGTTATCAAATCAAAACATGTTATCAAGAAGCACGTAAGTACATGGTACGACAATACACGTGAATGAAAAAAGTAAGGTATGCCGACATACGTCGCATACGATCATACTAACATAAACACACAAATATGATGTCACACTAGGACATGACACTAACTTAGACCATGTTATCAGGAAGCATATATACACACAAAGCATGCTTAACAAATGATAGATGTCTCAAAATACCTGAGCATGTGAACATGTTATCACACAAAACATGTTTTCAAGAAGCATTTGAACACGTAGAGCATGGCAACACAAGCATGATATGCACCAAAAACCCATCGTCCAAGGTATTTGAACCCGGATGCTCTGATACCACTTGTAACAACCCGGGTTTTGATTCAACCCAGTACTACAGTGATGGACCGAAAATTGACCCGATAACGGATCCAGATGCGGAAGCAAGAAACAAGACAACGGTCTCCCAAGGCATCACACACCTCTAAGACACTTTGATGACCTTCCATGAAGTCACGGAACCCATAGAAAGTATGTGCGGAAGTAAAAGATAAACCAAAGTCTTACGAGATATAAATCATTTCTCAGACGCGAATATGACCTTCCATAAAGTCACGGAACCCAAGGAAATAGCCGAAGGCGGAAACTAGGATAAAAAGGTCAACTGGTACCCTATGGCACCAATGACATCCAAGGGAAACAAAGTCTAGTTCAATCTAGACTATGTACGCCATTAAATGGCTTGAACAAGATCAACGAGGTCAAGTGGGAACGAACGGAAGAAGGTTAACCTATCTAGGCAACAACTAAACAAAAACCCACAAGACAGCACCATTTCGGTCGACCGAAATGGAGTATCGGTCTGCCAAAATGGGCCAGGAAAAGAAGGAAAAATGGGAGGTGTTTCGGTCGACCGAAACAGAGAACCGGTCTACCGAACTGGGTCCAAATTGTGAAAAAGGCTACTGGAATTAGCAAAACACTGTTCAACTAAAACCACAAGAGAATCGGTCGACCGAACCAAGCCATCGGTCGACCAAACTGGGCCAAACATCAAAAATGGCTACTGAAATGGGAGGTTTTGATGTTCAATTGAAACCAAAGGAGAATCGATCGACTGAACTGGCATTTCGGTTGACCGAAATGGCTCGAGAAAGTGCAAAAACCACCTGTTATGCACCCAAGGCTGAAAATCGATTTGGAATCCCCCATGGCATGATCAAACTTAATTATAAGCTAATGTGTGATGGTGTGAACATACACGCAAGTGTAATATGACATTTTAAACATGCTATAATGGCCTACGGCCTCATTACATTCCATCTGCAAGATTTGACATGTCAAACCTCCAAAGTTAAAAAAAATTACATTTCCAATGCGAAACTTGAAATTTAAATACATATACTTGAACTTTAGAGTTTGTGGCCCTTGGCCTCATGTCATACATATAAAATAAAAGTCAAAAGATGTGCTTAAGCACGCATTACATATTTAGAATCAAAATACAAGTTTGATACATAAGGCTACCAAGTGATATTTCATGCTAACACTTGCATGAAATGGAAACTCGAAGCTACAAGCCATCCCAATGAACGACAAGCATCACGAACCAAGTCTTTGTACCTGAACAAATCCCCCAGTAACTTCGGGGTGAGTAAACAAGTTTACTCGTAGAGAATGAGCATGCATCGACTTGATTTCTTTAGAGATTTTTAGACTGACATGCAATAGTTTAAAAAGGTCATGCCACCTAATGTCTATGTCAAAGGTTGGACTCAGGGAGCATCCTAAGCTACCTTAGAACAATGTCAACAAGAATCATGATACATATACATGTATGAAACAAGTCAAGGTTGGGGTAATCTGTGATACCCCTCGGATCCGAGACACGGGTTGATCAGGCCCAGGCCCAAACCCGAGGGATGTCAAACAATTAATATGTAATCGAACACAGAATACAAGATAAAATAAGAATTAAAAATAATAAGCTGAAAGAATGCTAATTGAAAATCCTTAAAATAATATAATTATTTAAAATCCGTTAAATCCAAACCCCATAGGTTTACAACTTGGGAATCCATCCATTGGACCCCTTATTAAAGATTCTCAAACCGGAACTGAAAATAATAGAAATAAAGACCAAAGCTAACATAAAGGAGATTCCTACATAGTCGGAGGAATGAATATCTGTATCTGCTCTGCACGTCCAAGCTCTAACTCTGGAACTGACGAACACCTGAAAAATAAAGAAGTGGGTCAGGCCCACATGCAAGTCCTGATCTACTACAATCCAAACAGTAATCCGATACGCAAATACATCATAGGAAGACTCAACAATAACTAGAGTAGTCCATATAAGTATATAGTACACAGTATAGGACGCTCGATAGTCCAGTAGGTCTGTCTCAGCCTTAATAGAAGGCAACATGCGAATACGCACCCGAAGGTGGGCATGAGTACCTAGACCTACCAAGAAACAACACCTATGTCCAGTTATCCATCCTAGGCGATATAAGCGCCCTAACCATGGTCCTGAGACTCAAGCTCATACCATGGTACATATAATAAATATATAGAGTCTATACTCCTAATACAAAATATCATCCATCTGCATAGTGGTTGGATATATGTATAACAAATCCATCCTGAAACCATAATAGGTCATTCAATTTATTTGATTGACATGACACAAGTAGGTGATGGACTTAACCTTTATGGTTAATCCATACCTTAATCCAAATTAGGTAGAACTTAGTGTTTTGAACTAATCCATTCCCAATATAGGTAGGTCTTAGTGTTTTGAACTAAGCCAGCCCTAATATAACACCGTCCCGTACCGGTTCATATATATCCATATAAGTAGGACTTAACCTTTTTATGGTTAATCCAACTCATTCCAAATTAGGTAGGATTTAGTGCTTGAACTAATCCATACCTAGTATGTTACCGTCCCATACCGGTACATACAATTCTCCAGTTAACATAGTTGACAAAACAATATTAAATAGTTATCAACCACATTCCATAGTATGCACAAGATAAGTTAATCTATATACATAAATATTAGGCATTCAATACCGAGCCTAAAATCCAACTCCAATAATGTAAATTGCTACATAATTTGTACACATTTACATTTTCCAGCATAATCCATGAATTGATACAATTTAGTACAATTTAAGTATCAAATAAACCCAAGTTAAGCATAGGGAAAACTCAGTTAATTCACTAGACTACAAGCACTATAGAATTATGATTTAGACATATATTTAAATCATACACAACAACCTTGCCAAGCTCCGGTATATCAACCTAGCAAATCCTCCAATATAGTCCCCGAATTGATACAGTTAAAAGAAATTTAAGTATCAATTAAATCTAACTAAGCATGGTTTAAATAAAATTAATTTACCATCCTTAACATACTGAATAAACATATGATTATATATAATTAAATTATATATAAAAACCTTATTCCGTTCCAGTATACAAAACTAATAAAAACAGAGAGTAAACTACCCCTGTTCTCTTAGGTTCATCTTGCTCTAACTTTTAATCCAGCTATGAATTTATATTTTTGCACCATAAATCTAGCCTTGAATAGTCCCACACATCATTTAAACCAATTTAAATTAATTGCAAAAATCCTAAAAACAAACAGTTTTAACAAAATGCACGTTATAGTGCTTTTCAAGAAGAGCAGGCTCTAGAAAAATGAGAGCCTGCTCCATATTTGCACCTAGAGCCGACTCTAGGATCTTAGAGCCGGCTCCATGATACCTAGAGCTGGCTCTCCCCTTTGGGAGCCGGCTCTAAAAGGTTTGGAGCCCTCTCTCCTTCCTCTTAGCAGCCCTCTCTTCGTTCTAGCTTCATCTGCTTTAACTCCGGTGTTTCCCTAGACCCTCTGTGATGTTTTTAGTCCTTGTTCTAGGTTCCAACTCAATCCTAGACACACCTTAAACCACTAACATACAACCATAACATGTATTGAACACAACATTTTAAAGCGACGATTACAAAAAACTCAGTTATAAACTTAAGCGATTCAAAACAGATTTCTTATGTGAAAATTGAATACTGTTTTTAATACTTATTTCAGAGTTCAATCTTAACCCCAGATTGATATCTAGTCCTCAATACATAATCATGATCCCCATTTAATCAAAGCTTAACATAAACACCGAGAAGAAACAAATAACAGAAACATCAAGGATTAGGCAAACCAGATTATCAACGAGACTAAATAAAAAATCATATATGCATAAAAGACTTGTTATTACTTTTATTTAAGTCCGTTTTAATCTTTATTTAAATCCCTGGAGTCCAACTAGGCATGCACAGAACACGAATTAATGGGAAAGTGAAGAACAGAGACTTGCCTGCAATTCCATATTTTGAAACTGAAATCCTCTGTCTCTGAATGTTCCGTTAATATCTTAGACTGTAGTTCCACCTCCGTTGCTATTGGTTTCACCTATAAGCAGCCTCTCCTTCCTCCTTCTTGGTCCAACCTAGCCTTCCTCTCCTATCTCTCTTTCTTTCTCTCTGTTGTTCTCTCTGTATCGTGAACAGAGTTTTGTATTTTTCTAAAACCCTTAAACCCACATAAGATTATATTTATAGGCTTAATACTCCAACCCTAATCCTTGTATAATTAGAGCCCTAATGCAACTCTTAGTCAGCCCAAGAAAACCTTTTAATAACCTATGTCAGCTAAAACCAAAACCCTAAATTCTTAAACAGTGAATTCACATAAGCACGTAATTAATTAAACTTGAGAATACATTTAAATTAATAAAACAAACCAAAATACAATTTAAATTAATGAAACAAACCAAAATACAATTTAAGCAATTGATTAAAGAAAACACAATTAATTGAATTAAAAATAAAATAAATCAAATAAGCAAATAATTTATTTATCAAAACAAACAAATAATCAATTAATTAAATAAAAATACAATAAATAATTAAATTAAATTCCAGGACTGTCCTTTTAAAATTAGGGGTATTACATTCTTCCCCTCTAACAAAAAGGAATTCTGTCCTCGGAATTCGCTCTTACCTTATTCGCATAATTCAGGAAATTGCGAGCGAATGACATCCTCCCATTCCCAAGTGGACTCAGCCTCATTGTGATGACTCCACTGATCACGCACCAAAGGGATAACCTTGTAACGAAGGATTTGATCCCGATGGTCGACAATACGACACGGTGACTCCTAATAGGTTGCATCCGGCTGCAACTTAATTTCCCCCAACATCAATACATTGATACCTATCCCCATCTCGGAGAAATTTCTGTAATATGGAAACATGAAACACATTGTGAACGCGATCCAAAGTATCCGGAAGTGCCAACCTACAAGCAACAGCTCCAACGCGACCCGTGATCATGAATGGACCGACAAACCGCGATAACAACTTCCCTTTCTTCCCAAAGCGCAAAACACCTTTCATAGGCGACACCTTGAGTAGAACCTGATTTCCAACCCTAAACTCCAAAATACGAGTACACCGATCAACATAACTCTGCTGCCTACTCTGAGCAGTACGCATGCGATTCCGAATTAGAGCAATCTTCGCAGAAGTACCCTTAATAAACACAGGACCTAAGAATCTTCTCTCTCCAACCTTCATCTAACAAACAAGTGATCGACACGGTCTATCATACAATGCCTCAAATGGTGCCATACCAACAGTCTTTTGGAAACTATTGTTACACGTAAATTTCACAAGTGGCAAGTAATCTTCCATGATCTGATTCACACTCTCAGTCTGTCCATTAGTCTGAAGATGATAAGCAGTACTAAGATGTAACTCGGTACCCAAAGACTGCTGAAAACTCAACAAAGGTCAACTTCCTTTTGAGCTCATCAAAAGCTCATTGACAGTGCTCATCCTACACAAACGGTACACCCTTTTTAGTTAGGTGTGTGAGTGGTCCAGCTATCTTAGAGAACCCCTGGATGAACCTCCAATAATATTCCGCCAAACTGAGAAAACTTTAAATCTCGGTAGGTAAAATAGGTGGTCTCCACTCAACCACAGCTGAAACCTTGGCTGGACCTACTGCTATCCCCCTTTCCGACGCCACGTGACCCAGAAACTTCACTTCCCGTTGCCAACATTCACACTTCTTGAACTTGGCATACAACTGGTGTTCACGAAGCTTCTGCACGACTATACGAAAATCTCCTGCATGATCGTCCTCCAACCGAGAATAGATCAAGATATCCTCAATGAAGACGATGAAAAACTAATCTAAATACGCCCTGAACACTCTGTTCATTAAAACTGTTGGTGCGTTAGTGGTCTCAAACGGCATAACACGAAACGCATAAGATCCATATCTAGTGAGAAACGCCGTCTTAGGAACATCCTGCTCCCTAACCCTTAGCTGATGATACCCAGAATGCAGGTTAATCTTGGAGAAGTATTTGGCTCCCCTTAACTGATCAAATAAGTCATCAATCCTGGGCAAAGGATACTTGTTACGAATCGTAACCTTGTTCAACTCCCTATAATCTATACACAGACGAAGCGAACCATCCTTTTTCTTCACAAACAGAACCAGTACTCCCCAAGGTGATGTACTCCTACGAATAAAATCCTGGCTGAGTAACTGCTGAATCTGATCCCTCAGTTCTCTCATCTCCACCGGTGCCATCCTATAGGGTGCCCTAGCAATAGGCGCAGTGCCTGGAGCTAAGTCTATCACAAAATCAATCTCTCGACTAGGTGGCAACCCTGGAATCTCCTGAAATACATCCGGGAAATCCTGTACAATCGGTATGTTATCCAATGGCACAGTAATCCCCTCCTCATTTTCCCCCTCCACATGGAACAAATAGGTGCTACCGCCCCCTTTAGAACGTGGCATAGCTACTACATACATATCCTGACCAGGTATGGTAAAATAATAGATCTATTAAAACAATCAACTTGGGTATGGTAGTGAGACAACTAATCCATCCCAAGTATCACATCATAAGTGTGCATGTTCGGGACCAATAGATTGGCTAGAAATCTGAGTCTGCCAATATCTAGTGTCACAGGCCCATCACTCTCATGTACAATAGCTGTATCACCCAATGGTGTAGAAATACCCTGAGGTCTAGTGCATACCCTCGTCCTCATCCCAGATAAAGCAACAAAAGTCCTAGCTACAAATAAGTGTGTAGCACCTGTATCAAATAAAACACATCCATGTAAACCATGAATAGGAAACTTACC